GATGAATTTCTAGATTTTACCTAAGAAAATAGATTTTAACTTCAAAGCAATCTTGTTAACTGCACTTAAAACATCCATTTAGAAAGACAAAATGACCAAATGAGTCAAGTCATTTTTCTTAACACTCACTTCCCATACAGCAAGCCTGAAGTTATTTCAGTCGTGCACGAGGCAAGGGAATCCATCCCAAGGCAGGCAAGGGCTTTTGTTTCAAGGAGGATTTGGGGTCAACACAAAGGTCTCCCCCCAACTGCAGATCAACCAACCAGGGCTTCATTTGGGTTAGTGAAAAAATTGCACACATCCAGGCCCTAGAGACATATCTTGTTTGCTAGCATTACCATTCAGATCTGGGACCAGAAAATGAGCCCAAGGCTAAGCTTGTGAATAAAAAAATTAGGATGCTATGTAGTACCTGGGCGCCAAGAACACTAGACTCCATGTAAAAGGTCCTTAAAATATGGCCTTTTAGATGAAACTGTTACAATGTCCCTCCTTTACCTGTTTGGAGATTCAGAAATTCACTTATAGTCAGTCATATAAATCTATTTGGGAAAATCTTAAAATATTTAAGAGTGTGGTGACATACTCCAAAAGAAGCTTGCCCCTCCGACTCATTGCTACCACCCCAACCCCTTGGTTCTCTTCCCCTCAGCCTCCAGATTTTGCTTGACACTGGGAAGTCTCCCCTTGCTACATAGGAGCCAGCTCCAATTCCATGTGTGAATTGGAAGACTCTCCTAGTGTGTATGCTAAAGGAATGCTGTGAATGAAGGCATTTTCAACTGTAAGGCTAGTATACACGTCCTTGATTCACTTTGTATTTTTAAAAACCCTTCTCACCTTACCTTTGATTAACTCTTTATAATTAAGTGCAGTGTTATTAACCATTTTGAGCAAAATATGCAAGGTGGTAGGAGCAGTAGGGACACAGTTAGGGTCTGCATTCTGAGAAACTAATGTCACAGCCAAGCTTTGGTCAAGCTGTAACAGGCTCCCATTCAGCAAAGTATCCAAACAAGAGAGCACGGTGCTGCGGTACTGGTGAGGAGCATGGGTTTAAATGCTTTCAGCACTTTGTAACATAACCCTAAACCCAGTGTTTTGAACAGTAAAGTGACAATTATTTCATACTGGAGGCTCGATGCACGAAATTCGTGCAAGGGGCTCGGCCCTTGTAGCCCCGGCATCAACTGGAAGGTCGTCTGGAAGGTCATCCGGGCAGTCATTCCATTGTTTGGCCGACTGGTCTATTTAGCATATTATGCTTTTATTATTATAGATTGGAACCAGAAGTCATTAAGTTAACTGCAATTGTTCAAGTTACTTTAAAAATGTTGATAATTTATATTCAGATTTGTGCTGTGATATAATGTTTAGAAAATTATTCTAAGAATATTTTTTGTCTTTATAGAGTTTTATGGAAAAACTAGAGGCCTGATGCACGAAATTCGTGCAAGGGGCTCGGCCCTTGTAGCCCCGGCATCATCTGGAAGGTCGTCTGGAAGGTCATCCGGGCAGTCATTCCATTGTTTGGCCGACTGGTCTATTTAGCATATTATGCTTTTATTATTATAGATAACCAAGTTGGAGCTGGTTCATTCAGTAGATCATCACTGGGACCCAAGCTCTACTTCACTTGGTCATCCACTTGACTTTTGTCCTAGGCTTGTCTCTCTGCAGGGTTTCAAAATGGCTGCAGCTGCACCAGCTTCAGCTCCAGCCTCCACACTACACAGCACTGTCAAGTGAGAGTGACATGCTTTCCCCTTTTGAAGAGGGAGGGGACCTCTCCCAGAACCCCCCGCAACCGACCTCCTATGGCTAAGATTGTCACAATCACCCTAAATCCATCACCCAGCCTAGAGAAGGAACTTATGACTAATTTAGACCAATCACAATTCATCTCTAGAGGCTCCTCACTGTCTGATACATGAGTAAATTCCGGGTTTTATTAGCAAAGAAGGCAGAGGGGCAGTCGCTGCTTGACAAGCAACTACAGTATCTTCTGTAAGGAGGTCACAACTTTTAGGAGACTAGGAATGCAGCTTGAAACATCAATACTTTAATTTCTGCTAATGAGTCCTTCCTGAGGGTTTTAAGCAGGAAAATAACATGAACAGAAAAATGCAATGAAGACGTAAGAGACTTTCCAGCCTTCAATTCTGAAAATGCAATTTTTTCCTCAACATTTACTGGTGATACACATACTTTCATTAATTTATTAAACATATGTTTACTGAAACCCTGCTTTTCCCAGTGTGGGGATATAATGCTGAACAAATAGCTGTAGTTCTGTGGAGCTTAAATTCTAGTGGGGAAGGCAAACCTACATAATTTCAAGTTTGGCTCTGTTAAGAAGAAAGGAAGAGGGGTAGTAAAATACTCAGTGAAGGAGGGGAGGCGGGGCTGGCTAAACTGGCTGGTCAAGGGAGATTCTGGAGATGACACCTGAACTAAACCTGAAGAACAAGGAGCCTGTCATGGAAGATCTGAAAGCAGGATCTTGGAAGCAGAGGAAACAAGTGCAAAGCCCTTAAGAGGAATTCCTGGTGTGTTAGAAACGCATAAAAACCCTAGAAAACAGTAAGAGGGGGAGTGGTGTAACATAACATGGATTTGGGTCAGGCAAGGATTTCTGAAACCACACATACACATCTCCTGAAGTTGAGGTAGATGGAAGGGATAGGGAGCAGGCCATGTAGGGCTTTTGGCCACGGTGAACGTTTGTATGTTATTTCAAGCGTAATGAGAAACAATTTTAAACAGGAAAGAAGCTTTTTCAATTTCACTTTTTGGCTTCTATGTGAAAAAAAGAAACCAAAAGGAGTAGGACTGGAATTACTCAGAGAAACTGTTAGGAGGCAAAGGCAGCAGGCCATGTACAAGGTGGCGGCTTGGAATTGGGGGGTGCTGGGGCAAGTGGACAGATTTTATGGGATGCTTTCTGATAGCAGAGGATTCAGGGTATAGGACTTATCACCAAGAGTTACTTAGGAAAGTTTAATAAGGAGACAGACTCTTGAAACGTGTCCCAGGCCAGTGAGTCCTCGGGATCTTGCTAAAATGCCGGTTATGAACAGCTGTCTGGGGCCTGAGGGTCTGCCTTCCTAACAAGTTTCCAGGTAATGCCCATGCTTCTGGCGTGAGGACCACCCCAAATAGCAAGATTCTAGCAGTGTGATTTTAACTTACGTTTTTAGTTGTATTTCCTACTAGTTAGTATCTTATACATATTATGTGCTGCAGCCACATGTTGCTATTTAAATTTAATTAAACTAGAATATGATAATGCCCTAGTTGCACAAACCACATTTCAAACATTCAAGAGCCATCTGTGGCTGGTGGCTACCTTCTTGGACAGCACATGTATGAAGAACCTTGCCATTATGGGGTTGTAAGTTTTCCTGGTCTTTTTACAGGGAACACACATATTGTCTGTATCTGCTAAAATCAAATGCATCTTCTAAGAGCTATTTCAAGTCCTCTCCTATAGGACCTTTTCTGAAACTAAAACTGGGTATGCTTGCTTCCTTAAATCTGAACATTTAGTTTTTCTCTGTAATATATTTCTACTGTATTTTGCCTGCCTAGCATCCAAAGTATCTTAGTATTTAATTCCCGTTTCTCTGGTTGTAGAATACCTTTTCTATTGGGGGAGGTGGTATGAGAGGAGGGCCATTTCTCACTCATTTTGTCCATGTGGTTTAGTTGAACCCAACTCTACCCTTAGCCAGTCAATTAGCATATAAGCCAGATGACAGCCAGAGACATTAATCCCAGGACATTTGCTGAAAAATTAGATAAAGGTGCTTTTCCCACTGGGGTCACTAAGCTGGCTGGATGCAAATATGGGTCGCTGGTGGCCATGCTGCCATCAAATATGCAGTCTTTGAGAATGAAAACAGCTCAGAGGAAAAGCAAAACCAAGAGAGCAAGACAGGCCTGCATGACATCATCTCATACTTGGCTACAGCTGTATCAAGTGCTCTCCAGCTACCCTTGAACATTTGTTGCTGGGGACCATAAATTTCCTGTTTGTGCTTGCATAAACCAGTGTATGCTGACAGCGTCTTGTCAGTTACAACCCCTTCAGGCTTCTGTGCTCTGCTGATCATGGCAGCAGCAGGGTCTTAGTGATCTCCCTCTACTCCCCTCAGAACCATCCCTTTAACCAGTCTCACAACCCCTGTAGCTGGTTTCTTATCACAGGTCAGGCATGTGAACATACGCCCACCTAAATTAAATTTTTTCTTTACCAGTTTTAATATTCAAATTATTTTGACATGTTGATAATCAAGTATTATGGAGCTGAAAGTAATTTTCATTGTCTGCTGATGCAACTTGTATTAACATTTTCAAGGTTTTTACAATTTGGCATATACAAATTGGTTAATCTCTGTACTATATGTCACTCAAAACAAGTTGAAAGTTCCTAGTTAGCATATCATGTATTGTTTGCCTGGTAATCCATACATACCACCTCCTGGATACTTATCCTGCACCCTCCCCCATCTCCTGGCTCGGAAGGAACTCCCCCAAAGCCACTAGGTGTGTGCTGTGTGCTGGTCCGGGCCAGCCGGCTGGCAGAGCGCCTCCAGATCCCAGTCTTCCAACCCACCTCGCCTTGTGGATCAGCTCACATGGACCCGCTCAGCTTCATGTCTTGGGTTACTCTCCTCTTCACCTTTGTCCTGGAGCATATGGAATCTTATCACAATCTGCTCCTCCTCATTGACTTAGTACCCACGGGCACTGTACCACGTTGTTACAAAAGGTTCCTAGATTCTAATCTCAAACGTGATCCCACACCCAGATGTGAAACCCACCTCCATCCCATCTGCCACTTACCTTTGAAAACTATCTTTTCTAACTATAACTGGGCTAAAGAAGGAGCAATTCATTCACAAAGGCCCTCACTACTCCACCCTACCACTCAAAATGTCTTAATTATTATTTTGGGTACAAGATAAGTTTTAAGAACACTCTAGAGGGCCATGTACGTGATAAGATTTATCTTTTATTAGATATCTTATATTACATGTTCCCAAAAAGATATAAAATCTCCCAAGAGAAAATATCAAAACCTATTGATTCCAAGGTAAGCAACATAAAATGAAAGCAAAGATTTCCTTCCAGACAAAAGGATGTGAAAACATTTCGGCACAAGTACAACAAAGACATGGGAAGGTGATTACAATGTTTTACAACACACTTTACAGCATTTTATTTTAGCCAGTATTTGTAGAAAATAAGGATGCTGAGTTCTCAAACACTGCAGTTAAAGTACCAAATTAAATTTCCAAAAAAAAAGATAGGATAAAGTAATGAACTACTTGGTCAACTGAACATGTTATAACTGTAATAAAACCTAGGCACACAAATATGCCACTGAGATCACAATTGAAATGTACGGTTTTTAGCTGGAGACACTGATGATTTAATCAGTTCTTGATCACAGCCCAAAGCAAAAGCATCCCCTCTTCATTTCCCTGATAACTTGCCTGTTAAAGAAAATTTCTGCTTTACCTGTGAGCAGTTAGTGGCAATACACACTGAATAAGACCTGACTGACATGGGACAGACCAACCTTAAACAACCATAAGTGGCAAAACCACTGTTATTGCAAGATATGTTATTTCAACTGATCAGAATTCCCAGACCACAGTGAACTCCCATAGGAAGATTTTACATTTAAGATGCAATGAAAATATTGATCTTATTCCTGGAACTTGCTCTGATAATTCTAAGGTCTGTAACGAGCAAGTCCACAAAAGGAAGTTTTTGTTTCTTTTTTAGTTGTCTATCCCCCCCAAACCAGGAAGGAAACTTACAGTACATGTTTATTGCATGAAACTACTCCCTTTTAATATCTTTATCACCACCAGTAGTGTTTCCTTAATTATTAAAGGTGAAAGAAGTGTATGAATTTAATGTAACAATAATCTTAGGAGCTGTATCTTGATGAAAAATCCAGATGATAATTAGACTACCTGGTGAAACAGAAATTAGGTTTTAATTTCTCTAAAAAGATGCTGGAATAACGGGAGGTAAATGGAAGTTTAAAGTCAGACAATAATCTATTAGTTTAACACAAAGAGAACTTTCAGAAATGAAGATACTCAATCCTTTTTATATTAAAACTGAATAGTCTAAATGTTGCTTATATTTTAATATTAAGTTAACAATGACCCCAAATAAATTTTATAAAAAGTATTGTAGTGGCCCATGGGCTCAGAACTTCACTTGGAGGTTAGTGCACACATACAAAAGTGTGGAATTCAGTGAACAGACATATTCTTGAATATGATAAGTCAGGAAGAGCTACATATAATCGGGTTTCCAAACGAGGTCTATTTTAAAGCATTCTCTCTTCAATGTGGTTAACTCCTCTGAAGTGGAAACTGGGTGTGGATTTTGCACATTACAGAATCCTTGCTTCAAGTTGCAGTCTCCTTGGCAGCAGCATATTTTAATTAAGTATATTTTCCCCTTGTTTTGTTTTCTGAGATTTCAGTACATTCAAATAGTCAAAATGTTTAGAGTAATATCACCACAAATTTAATGCAACAGATCAGAATGTGGCCAGCATTGTCAGGCAAAAATTTTACAATTTATGTGTGATAGAAAGTACCCACGCTCTCTTCTGCCCCAACCTCCCCCTTTCCCTAAACGGTAATATGGACACTAAAAGATTTAACAAGACTTATACAAAAATAAGGCACATTCATTTTGATATGGTATTTTTAAAATAGAAAACCCCTTCTCAGAACATCTGTATTCAAATGAGCTGTGTAAAAAGACACCTTGTGGTACCTAAAATAGGTTATGGTACCTATGGAATTGCTTCTTCTATTTTAGTGACAATGTAATAAATTGCACCTATCCCACATTGTCAAGTAATGAAAATATGCCTCTTTTTCTACTACTGAATGATTCAAAATCGGATATTTCTGGAAATACTTTACAAAGGATAGGCAGGGAAGGGTTAAGTGGTACATTAGAAAAAAGTGTGAAAATCAACTATATATACCATAAGGGTTGATGAATTGCACTTTTCCACATATTTCAACACAAGAACATTTTCTAATGCATATGAATGTTTACAACCATTTTGGCCATTAGCTATTACCCACCAGCTTTTTATTCCATTTTGATAAAAGTGGGCATTTTTGTAAAATTATCAAAGGACCAGCAACATGAAGACTCGTAACAATCTCTTCACAACCCTCAACACAGATATAATTAGTTAGTATTTAACCTGAGATACAATCTGTTGAGAGGTTCTCTTCAGACATTTCTTTGTTTGTTGCATCAATTCATACAGATGGTAGTAGTTGATGAAAGAAACTTAAAAAACACACAAAAAAACACAAACTGGTTGTAGCATGGCTTTTTTTTCTTATGTAATGGTTAAAAACAAAACACAGAATTCATGTCCTCACAGTAGCCAGAAGCTTAAATAATGTGCTTCTTATTGCACGTTAAATTAAGAAGTGTAGATAAGCCAATGTTTCACAGTCCAAATTTGAAAGCCAGATTCACCTCAACTGGATTCGAAATGTGCTGATTTCCATGGGCCTCAAGTTGATCTCACTTATATTTCGGACGTCTGGAGGTGAATGCATCAAGGATAACGATGAAGGTACGAGATTTGCAACAGTAAACTTGTTAAAAAGTTTCTGTATCAATATCTAAAAAGAAAATGATGAAATGTGCATATTTAGATCATTTTTGAAGAAAGACTAGCAACACAGCTCTATAATCAGTGAAAAATAGTATGAGACAGAGTAAAACAGTTTATTTCTTTATTTCAGAGTGAGAAGAAGGGGGAGAGGGATAGAGAGATTGAAACAACAATGATGAGAGAGAATCATATATTGGCTGCCTCCTGCACACCCCTCACTAGGGACCAAGACTGCATCCCAGGCATGTGCCTTGACCAGGAATCGAATCAGTGACCTCTTGATTCATGGGTCAATGCTCACCACTGAGCCCCACCAGGCCAGGCTAAAACAGTATGTTTGAAGTTCCTTTTAAGTAAAAGAATGAGGAAGGGAGGGAGATTAAATATACCTCTGCAGGCTTGAACATACAGACCACCCCTGGGAGAAACACAGGAAAGTGGGAACCAGGAGAGGTCAACCTGGGCTATACTCCTTTATTGTACAGCCTGAGAACTTACCATGTGAGGGGCCCCTTTTCAATAAAAATTAGGGACATCTATGGGCCAGGGAGTTTTAAAACACTTAACACAAGTGGTTCTAACCATTTTTCCTGTTCCAACAGAGCTGAGACAGGAGACGAACCTGTCACAAGGAGGGCTCATCATGTCAATGAGTCCCATTTATAGGGTGGGGAGGCTGCATGAATATGTCTGGATCCTACAGCTCCCATAAGACTCACAGCCTTAATGTTCAAATACAAATGCTCACAACCAAGTATACTTATATCAACAATAAGGTAGGTAGAGGTACAATAAAGAGGTATAATAAAGAGAAATAAAGATATCAGTGCTTTCTTAGTACCAACTCCACGAAGGGTTAGGTAAACGAAATGGAGAAAGAAGCTTATCTGCACAGATTTAGGTCCCCTACCGCATCTTTCTTCTCACTATGTACACGCTAATTTGTAAGGTTTGGAACCAAATCTGTTGAGTCAGGTCTACAGGGTTTATGTGTGAGGTTTTGGAGAAGAGCTGGTTTGGCTGAGCTGCTGGGTGGGGCAGACCTGTCTGTGTACTAGAAACATCCTTATTGTGTTCCCAGAGTTACATACAACCTGCTCAGAGACACAAGCAGAAGACTGAAGTTTTTCTTTCTTCCAGGGAGAGGTTTGATGGAACTGTGAGCAAGACCAACTTAAAGAGAAATAAAAAATCCAGCAGTGGTCAGCCTGAGGATGTTTGGCCTTCACAGTGAGGACTCGCATGCCAATTTGGCTTCATCAGAAGATCTAGACCAGCATGTTTCCATGGGGAACCAACTGATGCGAGCTGAGGATAGATGCCTTGGGGGCGGTGGCTGAATTCTCTCACTGTCCACACTCTCATTGCTCCTTGTTGCTTTTCCTACTGCTCCCCCAATTCACTGAAGTTATTATAAAACTGTGTCGGCTACCACAGAACTTGGGTTTGCCATCCCTGAACTAGATCAGCGGTCGCCAATCTTTCAGACCGCACGGAAACCAGTGGTCCACGGACCACTGGTTGGCGACCGCTGAACTAGATCATGCATGGGTATACCCAAGAAAGCAGAAAATATGGCGGTGAGGTAATCTGAAGAAGTTTTGCAGGTAAGAAATGGAGAGCCTAAGAATCAATGAGAACATTCAAATATACACACGTTCCGGCTGTGCATTTTGATGTTGACAAGAAGAGGAGACTGAAGGTGGAGAAAGTGCTTTCTTAACATGTGGAGACTTGAGCTAATTTGTAGCTGAGAGTAAAAAATCAATGAAGAAGCAATGAAACATTATCTTATTCTCAGGATTATTGCAGAAAGTAAGGATTTGAAAGCACAACTAACTTGACAAACAAAAACCTTTCAGCTCACCTTCCCCTGGGTAGTGGAACAAAGCAGCCCCGTGTCTCTGCTGGAGAAGCGGCAATCAAAGCCCTTCCTATGGAGGATCAAGGCCGCCTCATCAGATTGCTTGCCATCCACCTGCAAAGGAGCAGAGTGCCAACATGCCACAAGTGACATCAAAACAAACACTGTCACTACTGCACGCTCACCGCCTTTTTGTTAGCATCCCCAACACAAAGGCTCATTTTATTTAGTAGTGAAGCCAGGCAACTGCATTTCCCCTTAGGTTCCACGTGCACTGAGCCTGTCCGCCTCCCGCAAGGAGTCAGGTGGTATTATGTTCTTCGTTCCTTATTAAGTCATCTCATGTCTTGGTTTCCTCATAGTCCTTGAGGACTTTGGTTTCCTTTTGCGCACTTATTACATACTGTTTTATCAGTTTTTCTCAAAGCACTTCACTTTTATTTATTTTTAACATACACATCAGCTGAATAAAGTTCTTGATAAAATTTTTAATGTGTACCTGAATTTAGTCCTTATCTGGTTACTGAATGATGACATAAACTCCATCTTAAAACTGAAACATGCTTCATTACTGAATACTAATTTTTGCTAATTGCATTAAAACATTTTAAATCTTTAATGTATTGGTTCATTATTTTTATATAAGAGACACTTGAATTAGTTATGTTTATCACTTGCTAGGCCAACCACATTTATTAGGTTCCTGTATCATTTAAATTCACCTTACAGAAGCTATTTTCCTATGCAGACGAAAAAGAAATATTAAACATGACAAGTCAGCTACAGAGCTCAGTACAGGCACACTTCATTTTATTGGGCTTTGCTTTTACTGTGCTTCGCAGATACTGTGTTTTACAAATTGAAGGTTTGTGGCTACCCTGCATTGAGCAAGTCTATTGATGTCATTTTCCCGACAGCCTTTGCTCACTTCGTGTCTCTGTTACATTTTGGTAATCTTCACAATATTTCAAACTTTTTTGTCATTATATTTGTTGTGGTGATCTGTGGTCTTTGATGTCACTAGGGCAAGATCTTCCACCAACAGAAAGATTATGACTCACTGAAGGTTCAGATACTGGTTAGCAGTTTTTAGTGAAAAAGTATTTTTCTAATTAAGCTTTGCACATTTTTTAGACACAAGCTATTGCACATTTAATAGACTACAGTATAGTGTAAGCATATTTTTGTATGCACTAGGAAACAAAAAATTTCATGTGATTTGCTTTATTGTGATACTCACTTTATTGTGATGACCTGCAACCAAACCCGCAATATCCCTGAAGTAAAATGTCTTGCATCCATTTAAATAATAATGCCATGAGTGGTTCAGGTCTTTCAACTTTAAATTACACTTATCTTAATAAATTTTATGTTTTCAGTGGAAATATGTTTATGATAATAAACAAAATGAATTAAAACTCCTTTGAAATATGAAGAAATGCGCAGTGATTCAACTGGAGTTGTGGTTGCCTACCTCTGACACTGTGATGAAAATGATCCCTTTTTTCTTCTGTGGCCACAGATACACATATGCCAAGTTCTTGATCATCCTCACTAGGGGATAAGATTTTTAATGTGCTATAGGACATCTTTTCTGACTAGCTGCCAGCATTCCCACCACTGACTTGATTTTAATGTGCCTGAACAATTTAAAGCTGTCCTCACCTCAGATTCTTGGCTGGAATAACCTGTTTTATGACATTTCACACTGGTATTTTGCAGTGGTACTGCTAAGATTTTGTTTGAAGGGAGAAAAAAAAGTCATTTAAGGAATTCTGAGTCATTTCAGGACCACATAATACATATAGCAAGTTTAAATCATAGGATAAAGATTTCTAATAAAATTTCTATAAATTTCACACAGTCTAAAAATAGCATGAAAACAGTACAGATGAAAACACGTCATTTACAATAAACGGAAGAGCTGCAGGAGAATAACAAAGAAAACTCTGTCATGTGCCAGTGTGAAACCTTGGAATAGTCACATCAGTTCCTCATCTCCAATAAAACAGAGACCACGCATGTCTCCCTCCTTCACAGAGTCACAGCGTAGGTTAACCCGTTAAAAATACCATGTAGTCACACTGTGTGCGCCAGGAGAGAAAAGAGATTTTAAAAGACCTGTTTTTACATTCATTAACATATAAGTAATATCTGGACCTAGGAAAAGAAGAGAAGACTGAGGGGAAGAAAATTCACAAATTTTGAAACAGTGCCATGCACTATGTCAGGTGAGCTACAAACTAAATGTCTTTATAAAATAGTTCTGATTACAACTGCAGCTGAATCCATCCTGGAAGGCTTGGATGATTGAGTTACACAGGGGAAAATCCATTACAGAACTTATTCAGGGGATAAAGCAACAGGAGGCTCCTAGACTAAGTAGGGGCTGTGAGCTTCTCCAGCAACGGGGTGGAGTGTCGAGGTAAGAGGTCTGCTTGCAGAATGAAGCCATCAGGCTTAGAGAAAGCTGGACTAGAGGCAAGCGTTGGTTCCACCATGAATCTGTTAAGTGACTGCATATATCATTTAACCTCTGAAATTCCAAGAACTAGTTAGACTTGTGAAGAGTCCCTTTGAGGATCAAGGGCCAACTACAGTGACAATAACAGGAACTGTTGCAGTGTCAGACTCTGCAGAAAGCTTTTCATGGATTATTTCATCTTATAACCTTTGAAGTAGTTGAGGTGGTATACAAGTTTGCATTAAAATGTAAATGTATAGGAATATCCCTACCACAAAGAATCCTCTCTATACTTAATAGTAATTATCTCTAATGACTCTACATTGGCCTTTCATGGATCTTTTCCCATATATAGTTGGTGGGTGTTCCATTATTACTGAGTAAACAAGAAAAATAAGTCAGCATATTCCCCAACATACTCCACATTATCACTCCCTGTCTGGCCCCATGCAAGAGGCAGGACAAGGTTCTGGGTAGGGAACTGGAGATACAGAGCTATGCCTCCCAGCACCACTAACTACTGGTGGTGTGACCTCAAAAAATTACCTACCATCTTCAGGTCAGTTTCCTCTCCTATAAGACAAGATATAGTACTGCTACCTTCACAGCGTTGTTAGAGCTAAATAACATTCAAGTAAAGACTCAGCATAAAGCTTGGCATAGAGACAATGTTAGCTATGTTCTTTTGAAGAACCTGAGAAATCCTATCTAATAAAGAGGGATTATGCTCATTGACCCTCATGCTGTTGCAAAGATGGCAGCACCCATAGCCAATAAGGAGGGAATATGCTAATTGACTGTCTCAGCCTCAAAGATGGCAGCACCCACAGCCAATAAGGAGGGAATATGCTAATTGACTGCCACATGCTCAAAGATGGCAGTGCGCACAGCCACAAGATGGCAGCGCCAGTCTCCTCAGCCCTGCCAGGGCGGCAGGCACAGCCACTCTGCGTGCCTACCTCCGGAGACCTCCAGTCCTCTCAGACCCCCAGCTTCCCAGGGCCAGCCTGAGGTGAAGGGAAGTCTCGGATGTGAGCTGCCCAGCCATCCAGGCCCAGCCCAAGGCATAGGCAAGCCTCAAATGGCAGCTGCCCAGCTGCCCAGGGCCACCTGAGGCTCAGGTAACCAGGGCCAGCAGAGGCTAGCACTGCTGGCAGTGGCAGCAGCATAGGTGTTATGGAGTGTCGCCTTCCCCTGATCACCAGGTCATCTCCAGCCCCTAAGGGCTCCTGTATTGTGAGAGAGGACAGGCCGGGCTATGGGATCCCCCTCTCCAGTGCATGAATTTTCATGCACCAGACCTCTAGTTATTAATAAAATGTACAAGGAATACAAGTAAAATAGCATCAAGATTTACTTTGGCGCCCTGACTGGTTTGGCTCAGTGGATAGAATGTCGGCCTGCAGACTGAAGGGTCCCAGGTTCGATTCTGGTCAAGGGTGTGTATCTTGGTTGCGAGCACATCCCCAGTAGGAGGTGTGCAGGAGGCAGCTGATCGATGTTTCTCTCTCATCGATGTTTCTCACTCTCTATCCCTCTCCCTTCCCCTCTGTAAAAAATCAATAAAATATATTAAAAAAAAGACTTAATTTGGCAATAAACTTCAGCTTTCTCTAATTTTAAAAAAATATGCCAGCATCTTCACTTCATTATTAGTAACAATCACAACTGCTCATAACTATCACAATTAAGAACCTTCATTTGTCAAACATTTGGTGCTTCCTTGTGCCTGCTGCTGTTCTAAATGCTCTACAAACATCAACTCATTTAATCCTCAGAATGTCTCTAAGGTGGGTTCTATACTGCCACACTATAGATGATAAAACTGAGACTCAAAGAATGAAGTGACTTGCTCTATGTCACCCAGATGGCAAGCAGAGGGGGTGCACTCAAACCCAGGCAGTTTGACTCTAAATTCTGTGCTTCTAACAGCTTCATTCTCCTGCCTCTGCTCTAGCTGTGAATTGGTGCTCACAGATGCCAGTGAGGAGGGGGAAAGGGAGAGCCACCTTTAACATAACATGACAAAAGGCTTTAAACTAAAGGGGATTGCCCTCTGATTTGAGGCTGTTAACAGAGAGGACTTAACTAATAAATCCAGCAGAGATAAAACCATTATTTATCAAAACATATAAATTCAGAAAGTAAACTTTAGAAATTATAATTTCTAACCATCCACAGCCTACCCATTCATTCATTCATCCTATTTTAAGCAGAATTTAAAGCCATTTTGAAAATTACAGATGCATATTATAGTCTTGCTTAAGAATATAGGCAAATACTCCTCTACTAAAGTGCTAAGAGTTCAAAATGTGAGAGTTATGCGATTCCTGGCTCACACCAAAAGAAACTTAATTTGCTTATTAGTAACTAGAGGCCCGGTGCATGCATTCGTGCACTGGTGGGGTCCCTTGGCCTGGCCTGTGCCCTCTTGCAATTCGGGACCCCTTGGAGGATGTCAGATAGCTGGTTTCGGCCCAATTCCCGCAGGCCCGATCCAGACAGGAGGAAGCCTGATCCTGTACGTTGAGCATCTGTCCCCTGGTGGTCAGTGTGCGTCATAGAGACCAGTCGACCGGTCGTTCAGTTTCTTAGGCCTTTATATATATAAATGTGAGGTTCACAAACCAGTAAATTCCTGGAAACCACA